GATGGTAAAGTGACTGAGGAATTTGTTCCAAGGCAACTACCAATGTGACTCGCAAAGCAAAATCATATGACAATATCAACAACTTCAACACGATTCAATAAAGCCAAGAAGTGATGCACTATCAACTATTATTGGACATATTTGAAGAAGAAGACAAGAGAAACATAATTCAGGTTCCTTTAGAAGGCCAATCTATCTTGGTTAGTTCATACATTTGTAAAAGGAAGTTTGAGGTTGACAACTCAACTTTCTCCTTGGCCTTTATGATTTTTCATTACTTAAGAATCCTCACTTGTAATATCATCATAGAGTGTATTATAAACTTTTTGATGATCATAGAATATTTAGTTCTCTCTAGCTCGTATTTTCTTCATGATTGTTAATTAGTAGAAGTTAGGTACCTCATTAGGATTGGTAAGGTAAGGTCTAGCCTCCCTTACTTGTACTTATTCCTATTGAATTTTTTTTTTATGATTATTATTAATAAAAAGCCACTAGACCACTGTCTAGTGGTATAAATTTGCTTTAAAAAAGAAGAAGAGAAGATAACACTTACTGCAATGGATAGGTAAAAAAATAAAGTAATGTTTTTTAATATCCTCTTTCAAACATACACGCGGCACTCCATTGGAGATGTGAACCACTTAAAAAAAATTTATGTCTTTATTTCTTTATACTCTTAACTGCACAATACACTCAAAAGAAATTTAAAATTCTAACTTCATCAAATAGACCCAGCTACTCCTGTGCATGTTGGAAAAAATGTGGATTGACACAAAAATATATATGGTCAAAATAATTAAGATAAAATAAGAAAATAATGACGCTAAAATTTTACGTGGAAATCATTATAAATAAGGAAAAAATCACGGACCAAGAGAAGCAACTGATATCACTATAACAAAGAATTTTGCATTGTGTAATCACGAGTACAATACTCAAAGTGACTACTGTACACTCAAAAGGAATAATACTCTTTTGATTTTCCACCTTACTAAAAATATCGCTCACATTCTATTTTTCTTCACAGACTATTTATCGTTTGAAAACCTCACAATTTTCTATATTTTTCTTTCTTTGTGATTGTGTTTCTCGACATTTGTTGTCAACTACAAATTTGCCAACCATTGACAATTTTCTTTCACTGTGATTGTGTTTCTTGACATTTGTTGTCAATTACAAATTTGTCAACCATTGACAATTGCCTGCATCAATTGTTGAAAATCAATATAGGATCTGAACCCCACCGTGCATAGCGACATGATTATCACAAATGAAGAAACCTTACCCCTATACAAGAATCAGGTTCTTGTACTTTTGTCGAGACAAGCAAAATGCAACACAATAAAATAGAGATTTTATCATGAAAACCTTCCTACCTCAAGGAAGGTAAAAATCACACCACAATCTTATTCACGTCCTTTTCAGGATTACAACTCAAACGGAACTAACTCTAGTATCTTTAACTCTCCAATGATTAACTATAATCGAAGACGCAACTCTCCAAGAAGTTAAACTCGCTTCTTGTTACAATTCTCTCACAACTCCCTCTTAACTCTATCCCCCAAGAAGTCAAACTCACTTCTTGTTACAATTCTCTCAAGACTCTACTCTCCAAGAAGTCAAACCCACTTCTTGTTACAATTCTCTCAAGACTCTACTCTCCAAGAAGTCAAACCCACTTCTTGTTACAATTCTCTCAAGACTCTACTCTCCAAGAAGTCAAACCCACTTCTTGTTACAATTCTCTCAAGACTCTACTCTCCAAGAAGTCAAACCCACTTCTTGTTACAATTCTCTCAAGACTCTACTCTCCAAGAAGTCAAACCCACTTCTTGTTACAATTCTCTCAAGACTCTACTCTCCAAGAAGTCAAACCCACTTCTTGTTACAATTCTCTCAAGACTCTACTCTCCAAGAAGTCAAACCCACTTCTTGTTACAATTCTCTCAAGACTCTACTCTCCAAGAAGTCAAACCCACTTCTTGTTACAATTCTCTCAAGACTCTACTCTCCAAGAAGTCAAACCCACTTCTTGTTACAATTCTCTCAAGACTCTACTCTCCAAGAAGTCAAACCCACTTCTTGTTACAATTCTCTCAAGACTCTACTCTCCAAGAAGTCAAACCCACATCTTGTTACACAATCTAGGAATTATTACAACTCAATAATAAACCTAGAACAAATCAATAAAGACTAATAACTCTAGACTTTAATTGATCAGACTTCAACAATCAATAGTTCAGACTTGAACACAACTAGTGAACTTGGTCCTCGTATTATTGTGACGAAGCGTGAACCTGGTCCTCGTGTTGCTGTGACGAAGCCCTGCAGTTTTGCTCCAATGACTATTGCTCTCAAGATGATGAATTTTGTGAATATGCAATAGACATCGTTCTGGCTTTGCTGGAAAATTCTCTCAATTTGTGTTTATGCAAAGACGACTCTTTTCCCTCTTTGGCTTGAACCTTTTATAGAGTTTGATTTGCGTTCATCAACTTCTACAAGGAAAGGAATAACAAATCATTTTCCTTCTTGAACTTGTCTATATTTACTTCTTAATTGCTACTTCTTTATTTTTTTCCTTCTTTATTTTTTCCTTATTTGTTTCTTTCCTTCTTTGCTCCTGTGTTTCAGGTCTTTCTTTATTTCCTTGTTCGCTCCTTTATTTCTGTACTTTTTCTTTTTTGCCGCAATCTCTCATATTTGTACAGATTGACTGTAATCACATGTGAGAATCTGATTCACCTGATAGAGTACACATAAGACAACAAGTAGTGAACCATGTTCACTTTATCAATCATCAAACCTAATTTATATGTTCTCCTACTTGCCAACAACAAATAAAACATAATTTCTTGTAGTTAAAAAATCCAAAGGATCGAAGACGCCACGCACTGAAGGAAAATCAGAGGACTCAAGGAATATAAAATTAGAAGAAAATGCATACAACACATAATATAGTCAAGTAAGGATGATGGGAAAAAAATTAGTCAAGGATGTCAGCTTGCATTCAGTAACAGGAATTTGGAAAACGTGAAAGACGCCCTTATTCATTAGTTGATTTAATTTAAAGTAGAAAAAAAAGGCATGCTGTTCACAAGAATTAAGATGAGATAGTGATAATATAAATCCAAAAAAAAAACATTTTGCCATATCATAATACTATATCTATACATGGGCGGAGCTACAGTCAAATAAGGATGATCAGCCGAATACCCTTTATCGAAAAATTATACAGTTATATAGGTAAAATATTATCTAATATCTGGATATATAATAAATTGAACACTCTCCCATATCTTCTATTCTTCTTTAGGTTTTAGCCTTAAATTTTGATTAACCTAATAATTAATCTTAAAATTTGATTAACTTAATAATTAAGATTTATTTTTATATTTTCGATCTATATTAAGTGAATTATTAGATTTAAAACACTCTCAAGAAAAATACTCAAGAAATTGTGAATATTTTAGCCAAATGAAATAGTAAAAAAGACTTATTTATAATGAAATGTTATGAGTAGTAGAAAATACTCAATTAAAAAATAGATATTAGAAATAGTAGAAAAAACTCAATTTATTATGAGATGTTAGGAGTAGTAGAAAAGACCCAATTTATATATGAGATATTTTTATTTTTTTAAACAAAATTATTGTACTATTTAATTAATTAGATTATGTATAATATTTTGATTTAGTGTAGGAATAAAATGATAGCATTTTAGTGCTTTCCACTTTTAGTATAAAATATGATATGATGATAACATTTATATATATATATATATATATTAAGATGAGTAATCATATGTACTAAAGCTTCATGTAAGTAGATGTGGATCGGAGAATTAAATTAATGAATTCAAGCTTTTAAGATTTTCAGTGTCGAAATTATTACACTGTTAAATTATTAGTTCTAATCTAATACCTGATAAGATTTTAATAAGTTATTATAATGAAAGTTACGTCACGTCCGTATTTTAGTATTTTTGTTAGTAACAATAATATTAGTGTTCTTGCAATAGACAGTTAAGAAATTAAATAAAAGATAAGCTTTGATAATATTTACTTTCAGCGTGTGCTTTCTCAAACATGCATGCGGCACGCCACGGTACTAAGGACAGAGAGATAGGAGTGCAAGGGTGTTTATCTTAATATTAAAAATTACAATGAATATATAAACATTATATTTTGAATCTCACTTTAACTAAAAAAATATTTTAAATCTCTTTAATGAAAATCTTAACTCTTTCATAGTACACTCTAAAAAGGATGGTTGTTGATACGCGGGATAATGTGGGATATTTAAATTTGGAATTAAATTAATTTATATTGTATTTAATTGACATTATAAATTTATCCCTGAATATCAGACCTTACCCAATGCATAGGTAAGTAAAGAACACAAAGTAAAACATTGTTTTATGAAGTAAAAAAATCCGGAGGAAGACGAAATGCACTGTAAGGAAAAATAAATGACACATCACACAAGGAATATAAAATTAGTAGAAAAGGCATACATTATAAATAGTAGTAGTTGTCTTAGATAGCAAATATATTACATATAGTCAAGTAAGTATCATGAGGAAAAAAATAGTCAAGGATGACAGCATTAAAAGGCATGGTGTTTACAAGAATTTAGATAAAAGTAGTAACAAATTGTAGGCTGCAAGTATATACAAGTTTTACCAAAAAAAGAGAAAAAATGTGTTGCCATATTCTATATGATATGATATATCTTTAGACTATATAGGAGGAGTATTGTCAAGTGTGGCAACCGCCAACCGGACTACTATAGTATAGTATTATAAAGAATTTTAATCGTACGTGAAAGATGGCTGTCTCACAATTCATTCGTTATAAATACTCATTTCTTTCTCTTACAATTCCATCATCACTTGTTCAGTTCTCTACTACAAATACATTATACAAAGAAAGGAAATTCTCTCTGTTTTTCCACAAGCAAAGAGTATACTATAAATGGCCTCAGCTGCTGCAGTAATGAATAACTACGGAGAGGAGGACATTGTTCGACCTGTTGCTGACTTCTCTCCAAGTCTTTGGGGTGATCGTTTCCATTCGTTCTCCCTCGACAATCAGGTATCTATTTATTTTGTACAAGTCT